CATTAGGATATTAAGTAAAGATCATGTTCCATGAAGATATTTTGTAAATTTCCTACCATAAATATATCAAAACTTTTTTGATTAGTTTTAGTGATTAGTAATATGCATTGCTAAGGACTTCATTTGGCCAACTTTAAAGTGCCCCTATTATGAATTTTTGAAAATTACCTTTCATGCATTGTGTAACACAGCTCTAAGTGAATGAAAACATCCTGTAAAGTTTTAAATCTGAAAGTGCACCGTGTATAAAGTTATTGTCTCTCAAAAATGGAAAGCTTTATTCAGCTTTCACATGATGTATACATCTCAATTTCCAAAACTTGACCCTTATTACTGGTTTTGTGGTTGAGGGTCACATATGTCGAGCTTATAATATCCGTGTCGTTGGCTACATCTACAGCTGCTGTTTACAGGTGGAGTATAATGACGTATGAGATTAAAATACCTCCCAAACACAGCTGCCCCGCCACACCTGAGGAGGCAGAGGACGGCCAGGTACCAGCAACACATCAACACCAATAAAAGAGCTGTTGACATGTCACAGTGTGACATGCTACACTTAATCTAAGACTAGGCGCCACTGGAACACAACAAAGACAACACATCTTTCAGCTGTGTTTCCCTCACTGTACTCAAAAGAAAACATTTGGCACACCCATTGTAGTCCGCTTCATGACTGTGAGCCATTATTTTTAGTCTAAATAAATAGGAAACTGTTGCTATTATTTGTAGAGTGATTATACGTCCTCTTTTTCCAGGACATGTCCTTGCCTGGATTTCAAAATTGCCTAAAATGTCCTGGTTTTGGCTTTGTTTTCCTATTGATGTACTCTCTACAGTCCTCATACATTATATGTGTGCATATTTGCATTGCTTTGACTGTTTTCTGTAGATCCCGCCTTCTCGCACGCCATGATTGGTCGATTATATACAGTGCCTGCACGCTATTGGTTAAACTACTTTTCATTCATTACCTTGAGCGAGTATGAAAACAATAGGAAAACAAAACCAAAATCCCACATATTTTAGGAAATTACAAAATCCTGCCCGGGCCAGGACATAAAAAGAGGGCATATAGTCACCTTATTATTTGTACTTGACTGCACATTTATGAAATAATTTGGTTAATTTGATGATTATGCATTTTAGCTAGTTGCGAGAGTCTTGTATCCTTAGCTCCACACTATACACTATGCACTTATACACTATGTACTTATGCACCATGTAGTGTATGAATTATATAAAGTTATTTTGTCATTATTAATAGTGTCTGATAGCCCCGCCCCCTTTGCGACGCAATTAAAGCTACGACATTTGAGTGCATTAAGTGTTCAACATTCCACACTTCGTTTTTCCCGGTTTTTTAAGTGCATCATCCGGGTATTTAAAGTGCACTTTTTTCTTTCTTTTTTTGGAATTTTCAGTGTGAACACACTACTGTGACCACACTAAGTTCGCAATTTGGGACGCACTTTCTATGTGAATCCATTCAGCATAAAAATGTGGCCACATTTATCAAAGTTGGGGCGAGATTTCATGGGCAAAATCCAGTCATTTCAATAGGAATCCACACATCTAGAATTTCTCTTGAGGGCATGCGGGTGAAATATTTCCTTATGCAGATTTTGCAAGTTGGTCATTCGAATTTGCATCGCTAACTTTTAACTAAATACATCTTTACAACAGACTTTTTTCCCCTGTGAAATTTCACCAAATGTTTTCTAAATTGATTGCACCTTAAATCTGCAGATTTTTCCCCAAAATCACAGCAGAAAATGAGAAAATATTATGTAGAGTCTTGCAGAGTACTGACCGATTGTTCATATAATGAGCAGACAAAGATATACACTTGGGTTTTATTGTAATCAACAGCATTTTTATTTCAAAAATAAACATTAAAATGCTAAATGCAAAAATGTTATTTGTTAAAGGCCAGTTGTGCAGTGATTTAGTTTTCTTGCTCAGGAAATGTTACATGAAAATGGCACTTGATGTGTATCGGTGGCTTTAGTTACAGATATCTGTTTATGAGGATTCAGTGGCTGCTCATCTCACAAAGATCCTGAACTCAGATCAGCACTCAGTGGTCATATCTTCATCGAAGTGAGTCCTCTCACACCATACAGTTCATATTCCACCGCTAACAAACAGAAACAACAATCAAGCATTTCCTCTGGTCTCCTCCAGGGTGTTGTGTGAGACGGTGAAGGAATTTGTGGCCAAAGTTGGGAAGTGTTATGAGAGAAGCAGTGAGAGTACGGAGGAAGCTGATGCACTTGCCCTCAAAGTGAGTCTGTGATGCCTCACCTCGTGACGGCTCTTTCAGTCATTACTCAACATGTGCAGAGATACAGTATAAACCTGTTTATCAACACAACACCCTCTCCTTTGTTCTCCGTCTGCAGAGTGCGATTCTGAACGAGAAGCTGGACTCCCTCCTGCAGACGCTCAATTTGGAGGCGCAGGCCATGACGCCCTCAGCCCTCACCACACCACCCATTGTGGAGGAGGAGGTGGAGGAGGAGGAGCTGGAGGAAGAGGAGGATCTGAGTGAAGAGTCTTTAACGGAGCTGAAGGAGAATGAGACTGAGAAAGGCTCTGCCCATAAGCTCTTCAGACCCCGCGAGCAGCTCGTGCGCAGAGCCAACAGCCTGAAGAAAGCGCTCAGACAGATCATCGAGCAGGCGGAGAGAAGTACGATTGTGCAGCATGTCTTTTGAATAGAAAAAAAAAATCACTGATCTGTTGCTTACAGAATGCGGCTCTGGATATAAGCATCTCTTAAAGGACTAATCAGATGACTTCAATCGATTATATTGAAATGGATTAGCCACATGAGACCTGAGAGTTCTTCTTGATCTTCAGGGATTTCTATCTTTTTAAATGAAGGATCAACACATGTGTCAATAAGTCATTAGGTTTTAGTAATACTCTGTAATTATCTGTTTCTAGGCCTGGGCTATATGTTTAAATATGATATAATAAAAAACAACATTTTTGATGTATAGTTAAATATTAAATATAGTCTAAATTTAATATAATAATTGTGTGTACATATATATGTAATAACACAAAAATGTGGGAAAAAAATATTAACTCTTTAAAAGATGCAGCACATTGTAATGTAAAACATGTTTGTTAAATATAACCTACATTTTATATAGTAAAAATAAATATAATAACGTTTTTGTTTATTTAAATACAAAATATTTTCTAAATATGATATGATAAAAAATAGCAACATTTTTTGTTTAATATTTAAATATTAAATATGATCTAAATGTAATATAATAATTTTGTGTACATATAAATGTAATAAAACAAAAAAAATTAACTTTAAATACAAAATATTTAAAAGATTAATAATTAAACATTTTCTCTTTAGAAGAAGATTGTAAAATGTTCCAGATGCAGCACATTTTAATGTTAAAATATGGTTAAATATTACCTAAGTATTATATAATAAAAATAATATAATAACGTTTTGTTTATTTAAATATGAAATATTATCTAAATATGATATAATTAAAATAAATATAATACATATATAATAAATGTATTATAATATAATAAATATTATATATATATATATATATTTTTTTT